GATGAACAGAAGTCCCTCTTTACCTCTAATAGTACATATATTATTAAAAGTAGCTCACACATATGGTGATTCTCAAATGCCAGACACTGTTCAAAATAGTCTGCATAGAATAATTCACTGAATCTTCACAATGACCAGATCAGGGAAATCCTCCAAGTAATCCTCAGGTTTCTCAGGTGAGGAAATTGAGTCAAGGTGACATTAAGCAACTTCCTCAAGTTGAGGAAATTGAGTCAAGGTGACATTAAGCAACTTGAGTCAAGGTGACATTAAGTGGTGGAGTCGGAAATTCAAACAAGAATCTCCAAGATTAATCCTTAAAAGGAGGACAAAGAAGGGTGACTTCTCCATTATCAGACTGTGACAATTGAATTGCAATGAACAAATACATCTACGTACAAGACAGAGGCCAGACACAGATACTGTACAAGTGGGAATCTAAATATAATGGTGTTGGTGCACCAAACTGGTGAGGGGAAATGTACTATTTTTGAGAGAGAAAAAAGAAATAGAACTCTACCTCATACCACTTACATCAATTCGAGGTGGATCACAGACTGAAGATTCAAAACAGAGCTTTAACAGAGAAAATAGTGAAGAATGTCTTTTTGAACTCAGGGTGAAAAAAATGTTTTAAAGAACCAAAAGCGCCATGATAGAAGTATCTGGTGTATTTAACTAATTCCAATGTCGTGACTCTGATGGTTAATTTTATGTGTTGACTTGATTGGGCTAAGAGATGCTCAGGTAGCTGGTGAAGAAATTATTCTGGGTGTGTCTGTATGTTTGTCTCAGGAAGAGATTAGCATTTGCATCAGTAAACTGAGTAAAGATCACCTTCACCAATATGGGTGGGCTGATCCAAGACATCAAGAGCCGGAATAGAACAAAAGAGCAGAGAAAACTTAAATTCATTCTCTCTGCTTGAGCTGACACATCATCTTTGCCTGACCTGTGACATCAGCCATAGGTCCTTCTGGCTCCCAGGCTTTTGGACTGTGAAAATTAGTAATGAGAAAGCTCACTAAAATGCAGTTGGGACATTTTGGCAGGGGTGAGCTCTCACGCCCTACCACTCATGTCAATTACAGACCCAACAGAAAGACAGACTTGACATTATAGTCCATCTTGCAGGTGGGTACTACTGCATTCTAGCTGGAAGAAGAGACACTTTCCTCATCTCAGGCAAAAGCTCAGCCAATGAAAAGCCACCACACTTGAAACTTCCAGTTTATTCCAGTGAACTTTTAGTTTATAACAGCTTTCCCAACTTACCCTTTCTCCTTAAAAAAGCATGTCTCTTCATTGTTCCCTGGACTTGCCTATGGTTTTGCCCCAGCTTGTTTGTCCCGGACTGCTATGCTCTTTTACTTCCAAATAAACCCATTTTTTGCTGCTAAAATAACTAGTTTTTATTTTTAAGGTTGACAAGACCCAGATTCAGGCTTAAACCATTAGCTCCCAGATTCTCAGGACATTGGACTCCTGCTGAATCACACCACCATATTTCTGCTTCTATAACTTGCAGAACATCAATCTAGCAGATCATGGGATTTCTTGGCCTCTGTAACAACACGAATCAAATCCTATAACAATAAAAACTCCTCATATGTGTATTTATGTGTTTCTCTTCAGAACCTTAACTCAATGACATAAAAAAATTAAAAAGAAATTACAGTCTAGAAGTTTTTCACCATACAAAAAGGACAATGAATTAGTATCCCGAATGTCATAAAACTTCTACAGATCAATAAAAATAAAAGTCAACTCCCCAAACTACGTAGGCAATACACACACACACACACACACACAAATCCAAATGGCCAATAAATATGAAAAGATGTGCAGGATTACTAGCATTGAGGCAAATACAATGAGATACTAGTTTTTACTCATTTATATTAGGAATAATAAAAGCATGTGATAATTTTTTAAATGGGCCAAGATATGGGGAAACCAGAACTCTCCCACACTGCCAGTGGAGATATAAATTGGGAGGCCAATCTGACTGTTCTAAGAAAGCTGAAAACGAACATAAATACAACCCAGTAATTCTATTTCTTTGTGCAAAGCTGTGCAGTAAAGCATTGTTTTAATTAACAAATATTTGGAAATAATCTTGTCCATCAACAGGGGAATGAATAAAATAAAAATTTATGCCAGATCTAATTTACTCTGTTGTCCTGACTAAGATCTACATATAGCAATGTCTTTAGAGCTTGTAAATGTCATACTGACTTTTTAAAAAGGTAATGGGATAAACTGATAAAACCACATGTGCCATGTTACCATTAGCTGCATATGCTTTTGTTCATAAACTTGAATATACATTGAACTCATTGTTATTTCTCAGTAGTGAAGAGAGGTCTAGGAGAGATCGTGGTGTGAGAACAAAAGTGGTATTATCCTGGCCTTTATACAATTGCTATGATGAATGCCCCTGGTTTTTCCAAGATTGAGTATAGGAAAAACTTATTGGACATGGAGAAACAGCTGGAGAGGGGTGTCTTTTATTGAGAAGAGTGGTCCAAACTGAGTGTCCAAATTGAGTGCGTTGACAAAAAATAAAATAGAATTTTGAATAAAATTGCTTGAAGAAGCCCCTTCAACACCACCCAGCTCCCAGTCCTTTCAGGAATACTAGTTTAGAAAACAGTGTCCCGATGCAGCTAAATTATATTCTTAACATTCTTCGTCCTTATTGAGCCAGAGAAATAAAAATATATGAAAATAACTGAGTGAAAACATAGGAGTGCAATGGGAACAATATATTCTGAAAATCATTTTTGTTTCTTCCCCTTCTAACTGTCCCCACCCTTTTTAATGCTAGGTTTCCCAGAGTATCTATCTGCCAGGGAAGGAATTGTGATATTCCTGAAATATTATGAGAATTTCAATTTCTAAAATTAAAAGTAGGAATATGAGCCAGGCATTGACCTTAGACTTTTTAGAATTCTTTCATTTCTCTGCACTGCTGTACCCAAGATTGATCTATGCCGAAAGACAAAAAACCCTCAAGATCTGAGTTGCTTCTCCCATAGAAGTTTATTCCTTGCTCGTGTAAGATCTGCTTCGGGTCCAGTTGCACTTTCGGGCTACTCCCTTCCCAGGGTTTCTGGTCAACCTCCATCCTGGGCTTCTACTCTCTCAATACCTGCCTTCAACTCCTTTCCACCCAAGCATCTCCCTCCCATCTTCCACCATGCCGGGGCTCCCCGAGTTCAGCCTCTCAGCCTCAGTTTTCTGCAGAGTACACTTCCATCTCCTGTGACATTCAGAAAGACAAAGTTGCCTCGCTGCCTGGCGTAGAAAGGAGACATGGCCTCTTGCTGCTCTTCGATCCAAACTTCAAACCAACACTACCTTGTCATAACTCTGGCCTTCAGGTTTATGTGGGGCTTCGAATTCCAGAGCTCTACTGAAATTCTGTGGGGGAAAGCTGGAGGGAGGGGAGCGGTGGTTTGCTTCTCTGAAATGTTTCATTCTGTGGCCAAGCCATCATTTTCGACTTCCAAGATTTATCCTGAGTTTTTCCGCTTCTGTGTATTTTCAATACCGACACCGAAATGACCACATCTCACTGCTATTACTTAGACCTTCTACTTCTCCTGCCCCCACATTGTCACAGAACAACTAAGCTGATTGTTTAAATATGTAAAGCACAGCATGTCAAGGGCTGTTTCAAACTTCCAATGCCTTCTTATTTCAAGTTGAAAAAACCTCAAATACTGGACATGAACCACAAGGGCCTGCATACCCTGAACCCTACCTCTCTCCTTCTTCCTCTCTATGCCCCAGACACAAAGAGCTTTCTTTCTCTTCCTGAGAAAACATAAGTTCCATGTTAGGTCAATTACACTGATGACTTCCTCTAAGTGGAAATCAGCTCCAGCTTTCCATTGAGTCAGTTGGGTCTTGGAAAAGGTCTACTGCTTAATGCAACTTCCCCTGACTACTGGAACCCAGGCCAGCCCTGCCCATTCTGCTCTGGCATCCCATCCCCTTCAGTTTCTTCTGAGTACCAGGTGAAATTATCTTGTTCATTCATTTGTGTGCATGCTTACTGGGATGACTCAATGAATTCGCTATGTGAAATATGCATACAGCATTGAAAAGGCAGTGCAGACTTCGGGGGAAGATATTCGGATGATGGCACGTTAGTCCTCAGCATGCTTGTCTCCCAGAAACTCGGGTGCTCCTACCCAGCAAAGCACCAGGTGATTCATACAAATCAACCTTAAGGTAGGGCTGCAAACCAAATCCCCTGCACCCACCCAGTCAGCTAGCACCCAAGAACCATCCACCAAACTCAGTCATCAACACCACACAATGCAGCCAGCCAATAAAAATCAGTCTTGCTTAAAATGTTTTAATATAATTATCAAGAAAAGTACAGAAGAGAATAATCTCCACCCCTCAATTGGTTGAATGGACAATATTTATTAGAAACAAAGTCAGATTTGAACATTTTGGTTATCTTTAATATGTTTGTGAACAAATACTGGTGATAACACATATTGAATACATCAAAGACTCAGAAAGATGATATTCCGAACCTCTACTGACACATTTGGTCAAAAGAGCCTAGTTTTTCCAGGACAGGGGTAAGGGAGGTGGGAGGGGAAAGGGAGGGAGACTGAGGAGAACCAAAACCCAGCAGCATTCATAGTTGACCCAGAGGATAGGAGTCTGGGGGAGATGAGGCTCTGGCCACCTCAGCAGGACCCAGCTCACAGAGACACAAGAGTGCTTAGTGGATGAAACCTCAGCTGGTGACATGGGATTCAGCAGTGTCCAAAGACATTCCAGGGTCTGGCAGAAAGAACAAACTATGGAGAACTTGGTAAAGAACATGGACTCAACGCATCAGTGGCAACATCATAGGACTCTCAAGCAAGACCAACGACCTGCAAGCTCTCCCAAAGCTCTGACATAAATGTGGCCAGTCTCAAGGAGCCTCCACACACAAGAGCAGTGGGTTACAAAGGTGTCCCCTGGGATTAGGGGACAAGGGCACAGCCCGACCCGGAAGCCTCAGCCCCTCGCCGGAGCCCAGGGCTTGGTGGTGCGGGCTTGTCCATCCAGCCTCCATCCACAGGAAGGGGCTGAGCCTTGCAGTGCTGAGCTGCGTGCCCTGTTCCCACCGACAGGCGCCTCTTGGCCCGGGCCTGGAGGCTAGGCCCCTGAGCACCCTGTTCCCGAGGACGACGACCAGGACCACGCCTGCCGGTGGGGGGCTGGAGATCTGGGGCAGAGGGGTTGGGGGGCGGTGGCCGGGTGGGGCCAGACTCCCGGGAGGTGCGGGCGGGGACAGCCCCGGACTGGGCATCAGAGGAAGAGCTCTGCGCGGGCAAGGGGTGCGCGGAGGCCGGGCGCAGGGCGGTGCGGCGGCGGGTGCCCCGGCCGGCGGCCACAGGTCTCGGGGCGCGCGGGGCCCGGCGCGGGGGGAGGTGCCTCAGGCCCAGCGCGGCTCTCCCGGGCGCGCGCACCTCCCTCCAGGCGCGCAGCTCCCGACTGCCCAGCGCCGCGGGCTCCGTGTGGTCCACGGCAGCCCGGTCCTGCCCGCGCTTCCACAGCTCATAGCGCTCGGGCTGCAGGATGCGCACGAAGGCGTCCATGGAAAAGGTGACCCGGGCCTCCCCGCAGCTGCACTGGGAGGCCACCTTGCCATAATCGATCCAGCGCGGGGTGGCGAAGTTGATGGCTTCTGCGCAGTTGAAGCCATGGTTGAAGCCAGAGTGGTAGCCATAGGGAAACGTCACCATGAACTCGCCAGCCTCCTGCGTGATCCGACTGAAGGGGATCCCGTTGTCCCTGAGGACGGTGGGCGAGATGAGAGCCACCTTGTGCCGCAGGAAGGCCTCGCAGGCGCGGGCGCTGCCCGGGAAGAGCTCCGTGGCCAGGCGTTCCAGGCGCTGGCCGTGCTCTGGGGGCACCGCGTACCAAGTTTTGGGCTCCCCGAAGTGCAGGTAGTTGATGCTGTAAAGGTCCATGTCCTCCGTGTGCCAGGCGAAGGTGGTCTTCCACATGCCAAAGTACAGGTAGGGGGTGTTGACGCCCTCGATGACCACGCCGCACTCCTGCTCCAGCAGGTCCTGAATGGTTCCCAGGTGTCCAAGGTTCCACTCTTCCGTGTTTTCGTCAAACAAGGAGCCGCTGATGTCAGCGCCATAGATCGGAGAATCGTAGAGACGGGTTTTCCAGTATTTTCGCTCCAAGTCCTCAAAATCCGAGTGTGGTGGAGTCCGATACTTTCTGCTGTTTGCCAAATGGCAATACTCCCCCACTGTCATGGCTTTCTTCTTTTTATGGTATTGAGTAAACACACCTGCCTGCCCGGAGACCACCTGCTGGAGGGGAGTGGCTATTAAGATGTCACTGATATCATCGTAGGTCTGTCTGGCTTTCCATTCCTTGGGTGGAATCACCTTGGCGAGGCCTGCTCTGTGTGCGCCTTGGGATTCCATGTAAGCAATATATTTATCAAAATCATTAAACTCTTCTTTGGTTGGATGAAATATCATTATGGTACAACTTGGGTTCTGAGCACAGTTGGCCTTAGACTTCATAGCTTCCATTAATAAGCACCAAACTCCAAAGGTTTTCAGTATGTTCTAGATAGTTGAGGATGCTGGAAAATGCTACTTTTTAAAAAATGCGTTTGAGTATCTGAGTCACTATGAACCACCAGTGGACCTTTATGCAAATGAAATGATAATGTTTGTTAGGCTTGCTGATTCACCAAGGAACAATGCTCTGGGTAGAAGAGTTGCCTAGAACTAACAGTGGCTGAGCCTGTGATGCTCCTCAGTCAGTACCTGGCGCTGTTCCTTGGAGGTCTATTGAATCACTCAGTCCTGGAGTCGGTGTCCTAAAGATTGTATCTTCAGGGCAGTGTTTAAACAAAGCCTAAAAGGAAGAACATAAAAAGTTTGAAAATTAATGTTGCAAAAATTATTAGAAAGTTACAAATAAAATAGCACTATGGAATATTATTGCACACTCAGAGGAAGGCTAAAAGTTTATAAGATTGACAAAACAAGAGGTGGTATAGACATGGAACAATGGGAAGGGTCATACTCTAATAAAGAGAATGGAAATTGTTAGATTCACCTTGGAAAACTATTTGGACAGTATATACTAAAATTGAGCATCTGCATGTGTAAAATTGAACACATACATGTGATATGACTGACTGTTACCACATGTCTAGGTAATGTGCATGGCTCTGCACTGAAAGTCACCTCCAAGAATGTTTATAACAACATTATTTCTAGTAGCCAAATACTGGAAATAACCTATAAGCCCATCAACAGTAGAATGGATAAATACATTACGGTATATTCATACAATGGAATATAATACAGCAATGAAGATTTAAAAATTACACAGAAATATAACAATAACTTTATAATCATTATACTGAGCAAAATCATCCAGACTCAAAAGAATACCTATTCCATGATCCTATTTTTATAAAGATAAAAATGAGGCAAAGTAATCTATATTAGAAGTCAGAGTAGTGGTTATCTTTGGGAAAGAGAGAGGTTGTGAGTGGGGGCATAAGGAAGCCTCTGGAGCATGTTAATATTCTTGTTTCGAACCTAGGTGCTGGTTACATAGCCATCAGAAGAGCTAACTGTGAGAATTCATCAAGCTATGAGGATTTTCCCAAATTTCCATATGTTTATCTAAAAATAGAGTTAAGGTACAGCTCACCACAATAGTAGGATGCACAGAGCCCACATAGTAGACACCTCTGAAGTGCCTGGTTCTAGCGAACAAGGGGCATTGTGCTATAGGGCACCACAGGACCTCTTCTTTATAGGGTCACCACTTTTCAAGATCAGGAGACATAGCTGACTTTCCTAATATGTAGAAACAGACACAGAGAATTTAACAAAATGAGACAAAGGATTATGTCCCAAATGAAAGAAAAGGACAAAACCTGGAACCATAAAAGACCCCGAATAGCCAAAGGAATGTTAAAAAAGAAAACCAAACCTGGCGGCATCACAATTCCAGACTTCAAGCTATATTACAAAGCTGTAATCAACAAGACAGTATGGTACTGGCACAAAAACAGACACATAGATCAATGGAACAGAATAGAGAGCCCAGAAACAGACCCTCAATTCTATGGTCAACTAATCTTCGACAAAGCAGGAAAGAATACCCAGTGGAAAAAAGACAGTCTTTTCAACAAATAGCGTTGGGAAAATTGGACAGCCACATGCAGAAGAATGAAACTGGATCATTTCTTTACACCACACACAAAGATAAACTTAAAACAGATGTAAGACCTAAATGTGAGGCAGGAATACATCAAAATCCTAGAGGAGAACACAGGCAGCAAGCTCTTCGACCTCAGTTGCAGCAACTTTTTCCTAGAAACATTGCCAAAGGCAAGGGAAACAGGCAAAAATGAATTATTGGGACTTCATCAAGATAAAAAGCTTTTGCACAGCAAAGGAAACAGTTGATAAAACCAAAAGACAACTGACAGAATGTGACAAGATATTTGCAAATGTCTTATCAAATAAAGGCCTAGTATCCAAAATCTATAAAAAACTTACCAAACTCAACACACAAAGAACAAATAATCCAATCAGGAAATGGGTGGAAGACATGAACAGACATTTCCCCAAAGAAGACATACAAATGGCCAACAGACACATGAAAAATGCTCCACATCACTTGGCATCAGGAAAATACAAATCAAAACCACAATGAGATACCATGTCACACCAGTCAGAATGGCTCAGATTAACAAGTTAGGAAATGACAGATTTTGGCAAGGATCCAGGGAAAGGGGAATCCTCTTACTGTTGATGGGAATGCAAGCTGGTGCAGCCACTCTGGAAAACAGTATAAAGGTTCCTCAAAAGTTGAACATAGAGCTACCCTATGACCCAGCAATTGCACTTCTGGGTATTTATCCCAAAGATAAAAATGTAGTGATCTGAAGGGGCACGTGCACTCCAATGTTTATGGCAACAATGTTCAAAATAGCCAAACTATGGAAAAAGTCCAGATGTCCATCAACAGATGAATGGATAAAGATAATATATATATGTGTGTGTGTGTGTGTGTGTACACACAATGGAATACTACTCAGCCATCAAAAAATGAAATATTGCCATTTGCAACAATGTGGATGGAACTAGACGTTACTATGCTAAGTGAAATAAGTCAACTAGAGAAAGACAAATATTATATGATTTCACTCATATGTGGAATTTAAGAAACAAAATAGAGAATCATAGGGGAAGAGAGGAAAAAATAAAACAAGACAAAATCAGAGAGGGAGATAAACCATAAGAAACTCTTAATCATAGGAAACAAACTGAGGGTAGCTGGAGGGGAGGGGTGTGGGGGGATGGGGTAACCGGGTGATGGACATTAAGGAGGGCACATCATGTAATGAGCACTGGGTATTATATAAGACTGATGAATCACTGAACTCTACCTTTGAAACCAATAATCCATTATATGTTAATTAATTGAATTTAAATTAAAAAATATATAAAAAATAAGGGACGCCTGGGTGGCTCGGTAGGTTAAGTGTCTGCCTTCAGCTCGGTCATGATCCCAGGGTCCTGGGATGGAGTCCCGCATTGGTCTCCTTGCTCAGTGGGGAGACTGCTTCTCCCTCTGCCTGTGCTCTCCCCCTCTCTCTCTCTCTCTCTGACAAATAAAATCAGAATTAAACAGTTAGGATCCTAAAAAAAAAAAAAAAGAAAGAAAGAAAGAAAAGGACAAAACCACAGCAAAACAGCTCAAGGAAATGGAGATAGGCAATATGCCTGATAAAGAATTCAAAGTTTAGTGATCATAAAAATACTCAAGGACTTGAGAAGAGAGTGGAGGATCTCAGTAAGACCTTCAACAAAGAGATAGAAAATATAAAAAAGAACCAATCAGAGATAAAGAACTCAATACCTGAAATAAAAAAATACACTGGAGGGAATCAATAGCAGATTAGAGGAGGCAGAAGAGCTGATCAGTAACCTGGAAGACACGGTAACAGAAAGCAACAATGCTGAACAGCAAAAAGAAAAATAAAAAATGAGAATAGGTTAAGGGAACTCCATGATGTCATCAAGGGTAATAACATTTGCATTATAGGGACCTCAGAATAAGAGAGAGAAAAGGGGGACAGAAAATTTATTTGAAGAAATAACTAAAAACTTCCCTAATCTGGGGAAGGAAACAGACATCTAGGTCCAGGAAGCACAGAGAGTACCCAACAAAATTAACCCAGAGGTCCACACCAAGACATGTAATAATTAAAATGGCAAAAAGTAGGGATAAAGAGAGAATTTTAAAAGCAGAAAGAGAAATAGCCAGAGGAATATTGAAAAAGAAAAGCAAAGCTGGTGGCATCACAATTCCAGACTTCCAGCTCTATTACAAAGCTGTCATCATCAAGACAG